CCCCCCTGAGGCATCCGTTCGGCCCCAGGGAGGGCAGGGTGGGCTTTCAAACCTGGCGAGCGATCGCTTTCTTTCGCCAAAATGGCCAGGGCGATCGAGCGATCGATACCATATTGAAAAATGAAACGAACATGACTGAACAGTTTTGTGTCGAGTGACTTGCAAGTTCCTACCTACCAGCCGACAACTTGCTCACCACTCGTTGCAAAACCCCGCACCCCCACAAGTTGCTTGTTCAGCCATGTAACATACAAACTGTCGCACTCACTTTTTAAGCGAGCGCTGTAGGCATGGGGTCACAGTGCTCGACTGAATCAACTTTGGTGAACACAGAAGAGACCGAAGGGGGGAAAAGAAGTACACCATCATCCTGAACAGGGAACCTCTTCACGAGTCCGACAGGACAAAGGTGAACCCCATCCATCAAAAAGGTTTCAGGAACACAGTCCCGATACCCAGGCCCTCAGTCGCTCCGGCCCAGTTTTGACCAACGCATCATTAGTCAACGATTCAGCTCGAACGGCCACCTTGCCCAAACAGTTTGCCACCCTAGGCGTTCGCCTCTTTGCAGATCATCTCTTGAAGGAGGGTCAGCTGCATTCGCATCCGTGGCAACCCGATCGACAAACACTCTGATCTGCATTCTGAGCACAATATCCCAAAAGACAGAAATCAGCGAGCAGATGTCTTGACGACTCGAGTAGCCTTTAATCAAGGCCGACTCAACCACCTCCGAGTCGATGAAAATGAACAAATCGGTTCCACGGAGCCGATCGGCAAACGTTTCCAGGGCCACGATTGGGGCTAGCATTTCGACCGGAATAATTTGGGTTTTCCGAACTAACCATTTCTGTTTGAGCTCGGTCGGCACGGCAGCCGTGAACTGAACAGGTTTCATCATCCTGCGATCGAACAGAACAGCACCTATGCGATCCGGGAGCTTCAGAGCTTCCCTGGGGTCAGGAGAAAACCCATCCGTGAACAGCACTGCGACGGCCTTTTTGTTGACACACAATTCGATCGTTCGAGGGGGGCCACCCTGAATGAGCTTCAGCCACTGTGACAGAGACTCTCTCAAAGGGGGATCTAACCCAAAACGATCGGAGTGAGCAACACGTGCGTATTGGCGCTCTCAGAAACGCCCTCCCTACTTTACCCCAAAGCTGACTAGCCCCAAACATCAACTTGCCTTTCAACTTACCCGCCTGACCAGGCTCAAGTTCATCCGAGGCCAGAACAGCTTCGATCTCATCGATCAGCTCCTGGCGCCGAGCGGCTTTGATCTCGAGCACCCAGTCTGCGAGGTTATATGTGACACCTAAGATCACTGGCTTGTCCGAAAGCTGAAGCTTCTTCACATCGAACGATGCACCTAGCCACCAGTGCACACACTGAGCAACCTGGAAGGCTGACTCGATCGAGGAAGTGGGCTCAAAACCATACTTATCATCGTAAAAGTTAAAGGCAACCAGCTTGAACAAGGAGCACAAGATCTCATTGATCGCGGCCGACCGCCTGTTGTAGTTGTACACTGCCGACACTAGGCCAAACGAATGACCAATCATGACAAAGAATGAAGGCACGTTCGACTTAGGGTCCTTTAGGCAGATAACAAACTTACGATGATCAGGCTTGATCCCAACTTGCCGATAGGCTTTACGTTCGTCAAGCACCCAACCTGCGAACGAGGCCTCCGGCATGAGCGACCTCAACCGCCTAAGGGCTGCTACGTTCGTGTCGGTTGACGGCAGTTGCAGCTTCTCTGCGATCCGAGTGATCTGGTTGATCAAGTTGGTTGTCGCACTGTCACATCCTCTGACTTTGTTCTTCTGAACCACCTCGAACCTCTGAGTGGGGATCCAGTCAGTACAACCGAACAAGCTAGACACTTCATCGATCGAAGTCAACGGTCCAATGGACGACCCTTCTGCCACATCTTCGAGCGTCGCATCCCAGAGCTTCTGCAAATTCTCTGAGCTCGGAACTCGCTGTACTCGAGAAATGATCTTGGCTCGAATCTCCCAGGCCCGCTGACAAGCATGATCGATCGACAACACTTTCTGTGGTTTCTCGTAGTCAGGCCATCGCCGGGAGCGGGCAATTGATCCAACAATGGGAAAACCCTGGAGCAGCAAGTCCGGCAAATAGCGATCGACTGAGCCACAGGCTTCGAGCATTTCATAATACAAGGCAATGTGACAACAAGAGCCGAGCTGGCAAGGGGATCCATCTGGCTGACCCCGCAACAGCTTCCTCAGAGCTGCATCGGGCACTTTCTGCAACAACTGATCAGTCTGAGGCAACAAGGTCCATGCACGCTGCCGCCAAACTTCAAGTTGGTGAAGCCGATCGGTCACAACTGCCATGGTGTCGGCTGCCAAGGCCGATATGCACGAGGAAATACATGGATCCAAGTCAACTTCCACGCACAAAGGGTGGGGCAGCTCCAGAGCCCATGCGATTGCCACTCCTGGCTCGGTTTCCACGTTCAGCAATGGTTGGCGAGCGCCACGCTTGAGCTGGTAACCTGCAGCTTCGGCCTTCAAGGCTGAGAGAGCTTGGCGGTGTTCTTTCCAACGCAATGGCTGACCTACCGGCCTTTTCCGAGCGGGCGAGGTCATACGGAAACTCTTCAAGAACTGAAGGCCGGAGTCAGGCCAGAACAACCGAACGGCGTGAGCGAAGGTCTGGCACATGGCCGCAGGATAGACCTGGGCCAGCTTCGTCCTGAAGACCCATGCGTTGAAAAAGGTTGACCACACTTTGCCAGTGAGCTTTACATGCGAATGGCTGTGATCACAACGAACCTGCAAGCACATCAGAGCCTCATGCGATATCAAGAGCCGCGTCGGTTTCACCGATGCCCTAAGTCACCGAAATTAGTAAATTTACATTTTCATTGGATTTACGTAAATTGATGAATTTAGGTGGCAAAAAGTGTAAATGGGTTAGTAAATGTAAATTTGATTTAGGTACAACCTAAATTTATTTAGGTTGGTCTTCACTAAGGGTTTTCCTATTTTTTCATTACGTTTTGATTTGCTAATATTCAAAACTGCATCTAAAACACATCTTTTGAAGAAAGTAATTTGTAAAACATATAGCCACAAGTAGAGACACTTGGATAAAACCACAAGCACACACACTCAGGTATAAGCACGCAGGAAAGACAAGCACAAGAAAAATATCTTGGGTATAAGCACCATGAGCTTTCCATCCTTTGTCCTGTCCAGGACTTGGTTCACTATCTTGCGCTGTTCTTCTGTGCGTCCCTTCTTCATGCTCAAGGTCTTCTTCCAAGCCTGCACAACATAGTCTGGCAGAGAGCCCTCAGACAACAAGGCCTTGAACTTGTTGTCCTTCGACCTGTCCTTCTTGGCCTCATCGCACTCGAAGAAGTCTGCATTGTCCTGCTCCTCCTCCTCCTCCACATTCTCTTGGTTCATCCTCTTCAACTTCTGGTGCTTCCTCCTCCTGATCCTCCTGCAACCCTGCTGCCCAGCCATGAGCTGCTGGCTTCTTCTTTGGCTGTACGGTTTCTCCACTGGCAGCAGGCCTTTTTAAAGAGCCTGCCTTTGGCTTTGGCTTTGGCTTGCTCTTTCCTTTTGCTTTGGGCTTCTTCCCTTTAGGGCTCTTTGCTTTTGGGCTCTTGGATTTTGGGGTCTTTGCTTTGGAAGCTGGCCTTTGCTTCACAGGTGTACTGGGCTCTTCAACTACACCATCGTCCTTCTCCTCAGGAGTGACTTGGCCCATGGGGATCTCTTCTTCTGCCATGCCAATGCCAACAAGCTACTGCGCCTATCTTTCAAACCTTTCAAAGCTCTTTGAGATCAATCTAGCTGCAAAAGTAAACAACAACCAATAAGCCAGCTGTGCAGTAAACTCTCAACAACTTCAATTTGAACAACATACAATGCTGATCAACTCTTTGTGCAA